AGAACTAAATATAAACGACACTTAAAAATTATCTACATGAGAAATTTAAGAAGCAGATTATTAAAATTAAGAAATATATTTAATTAATTTGAGAATAGCTCAAAACGATTTAAAAAACATTAGTTTATGCCTAATGCCTGAGATTTGTTACCAGAGACTCAATGCTGCTTTTATCTAACAATTATATGAATTAAAAAAATAAAAGGTTTAACAAAAATAATATAGTAAAAACAAAAGTTTGACTTTTTTAATTTTAAAATTTATGAAATTAGACAATTATATAGATCTATTTTCTTTTCTTTTTGCTGACTATTAAATACTGGTGCATACGTAGAGATATAAAAGTATATAGTCTCAATTATTTATAGTCAATTATAGTCTAAATCTCAATTATTTTCTAATTAAATCCAAAATCTTGTTAATGATAAAATAATTTTATAAAACCTTCCAATATATCAATCATAATTACTATTTACTCCAATATTTTCAATCACAAGAGCCAAAAAAATTGTCTTCTGATCAAAATGCTTACTAAAATATATAAACAAATATTTTAATTAAAACTGAATTTGATTAAAAGTGATTTAATTTTATAGAAGTTTCTTAAACAATATAAAAAGTAATTGAAGTATATAATAAAAATTTAATAAGAAAAGATATAAATTTAGAAAGTGGAGACGTTCCTAAATTCAGATCTTTTTTGTAAATCCTAAGTAGATAATTTTTAAGTTTTTTCCCAGATCAAATATTTTTAGATCGTCTCGGCCTATCTTCAATGGGCATAGAAATTATGAACAAAATAAAAAATTAAACAAAAATGAGCAAAGATGAACGAGGATGATAATTAAAATTTTAAAAATTTGCATCCATTATTGCAGTCATGCTCTGTAAAAACATATTAAGGAATATGGAATATTTGTTTTGATCAAATGCTCCTGAGTAATATTGACATAAAATAAAAAATTATTCAACATTCATTTATAATTTTTGTTTAAATGTTAATGTCACTGAGAATCTAAAATTAAAGACCAAAGCTGCCAATACTGAGTTTAATCCTGAGGAATGAGAGGAAAAATAAATTTTAGTGGACATTTTTACCCTAATTTATTCAAATGGTTTCCTCCTCTTTTTTCTCTCTTTAGATTTGAAGTACTTTTATTATATTCTGTATTTGTTGTTTTTTTAATGCTATTTGAAACAATTACTATTCTATAAAAACACCACAGAAAATTTTTGATAAAATGCAGAAATATAGGAAAGGTCAAAAAAGATCTAATTAATATCCACATCATACAGATTATCATCAGATGATTTTTAGCCAATTTTAACATGTTAGAGGCAACTATACAGCCACATTAACATTTTTATTTATGCTCATCTATGTAAAATGAACATTTTAAAAATGTCTTAGCAGATTTTTAGGAATGAAAAGCATAAAATTTGAATTTAACAGAATTAAAACATCAGTAAAATCCAACAAACAAATTTGTTTTACTATAAACTATTATTATTATTACCATTACCAAAATAACAGAATGATTTCTTTTAAAAAAATGACTGACAATTTTTACACATCAAAAAATACAATGAAAAACTGTTGTTCCTGATGATTGGACATGACAAAAAAATGAAGACATTTTAGCATCTATGTATTCTTTTAACAGAATGATTATTTAATAATATATATAAAAACTTTAACAATTATTTTTAACTTAAAGTTTTGAAAAGATTAACCCAATTCTTGGGTAAGTAAAAAAGTGGACTGACTGCATAAATTGCTATCTGATTTACATATAGGAAACATTGTGTAATGTTTCTTAAATGTATCAAAACAAGCTTATTAAAGTTAAACTTCAGACCAAAGAAGTTCTAAACCATTTAATAAAGCTGATTTAATTAACTTTGAGCATGCTACACTTGCTACAATGTCCATCTGATGTTCTCTTAGGCATGTGGCCAACAGGATGGTAGCACTTATATAATATTTATTAATGTCCAAAGAAGGAATGCAAAAAAAAACTTTATAAATTTCTGATTTTTTGAATAAAAACAAAGGATGTTTTTTGCTGATAAGTAATTTTCTTGAGAAGGCCTAGGGCAATGGATAATATATAGCTGTAATTTCTAAATAAGCATATTAGTTTTTGTGATACAACATATGAAAAAGGAATATGAATTCTTGAAAACGTCAATGTCGAATTAGTGTATGTCATAGAACAAGTAAAAAGTAACTGCAGTATTGAAGAGTGTAATCTGTCTTCATAAGAGCAGAAGTGACTTGTTTTAATTGAATAGCAACTCTGTGTTTGTGTAGAAAATTATAAATAAATGAGATGTGTTAAAGCAGCTGTAGCAGCATTCTTGAAGATGGAAAAGTAAAAATAAGAATTGATAAAAACTACAGAATCTAAATCAAATTTATGAAAGATCTCAAAGACTAAGCAGGAAGAAGTCTTTTTATGAGATATAAAAAGAGCAACAGTATTATTGTCATTCTCCTTGAGTGAAAATTTAATTGCCAGATAAACAGACATTAAATCCTCTCTAGAACCAAACTATAATACTACCATTCTAATCTGTTAAATTCAAATTTTACATTCTACTCAATACCTAAAAATGGATATTATTTTGGTATTAATGAATGAAGCCTTTTAATGATTAGGAATATAATAATTTATATGTTTTTTTGTTTTAAAATTTCTAAGCATGTTGAAGATAGTATCCAAAACATTCAAGATGAATAAACACTTAAAAATTATCTACATGAGAAATTTAAGAAGCAGATTATTAAAATTAAGAAATATATTTAATTAATTTGAGAATAGCTCAAAACGATTTAAAAAACATTAGTTTATGCCTAATGCCTGAGATAGGCTTTTAAATTTTTATTTTTGTTTACATTATGAATGTAATAAATATAATAATTAAAATTATAAATATCCATAATTTTTTATATCTCTGATAATAATATTTATTTATTTATTGAAATAAATTTAATAATTATATTTTCTACTATTAAAGTTTATTCTGTTTAAAATAAATTATATATAATGGCAATAACTATTTTACAAATGCCTTTTTAACATTAGTAAAAATGCATTAAGTTATAAAGTCAATTTTGAATGGTAGAATCATAAATACTAAAATTAATAAAAGATATTTAAACATAAACACTAACTAATACAATGTGATTCCTAATTACAAGTACTATATCTAAGAGAATTTGATACAACACACTATTTTCTTTTAATTTTTTTCCTTGTTACAAAACAAAATATTCAGTACAATAAGCACTGCAACGAGATTGAAATTTTTGTGCATTACAACTAAATGGCTCATAGTTTCCAGTCTCTGTTTTCTTTGTTTCATTCAAATTGTGTGTGTTTGCCAAGGTTAGTGTTATTCATTTCTACATTATGGCTCCCTGTGTTCAATGATTACAATTTCATTAAAAAACAACTTTATTTTTTTCTATTTCACTTGTTTTCTGCTTACTTATTGTCTTAACTAAATTTCCTTTTCCCATTAGGAATGTTCAAATGAAACCCATCCAGAACACTGTTATCGGTTATGAGAAGATGAAATACAAATGACTTTCATTTACCAGTTTCTCGTCTGTTGATTAAGTTATGGTCATTTTTACTTTTACAAAATCTGTAGTTTTGTTTGCATGAGACTATAATCATCTCTTACTGAATAAAACATCTGTATAAAAAAGATCAAAGTGCAGTTATTCAGTTTTGAGGAATCAAAAGATGACGAGACACTGTATTTAAACACATACAAGACACAGACACCAGAATACCTCAAATTTGTAATGTGTTTGTTCAATTTTAATTTGTCTGTTTCGTTCTGTGTTATATATACCTGAAGATGTCTGTTATATACAAATAAAAACATTAGTAAAAATTAGTGACTTAAGGTATTCTGCTGTAGGTGTCTTGTATGTGTTTAAATTAATATATACCAGTTCTGGAATGTTACAGACTCATTACTGTCATTATGAACCAATTCCTAAAAAAGCAGTCTTTGATAGAAATGTCTATCTTCATTTAAAGTGCAAAGCTTGAGATGTCATCATTGACAAGAAAAGTTATGTGGATTTTTCTTTTGATGGTAAAAGTCCAATGCTTCTTGACTTCAAAAAGCTCAATGTTGCCACATTAACATAGGCATTAGACTGCCTTAAAATGAGCATTAAGAATAAGTGGCCCACCCATTTGTTCTAAGAAGTTGTCCCAAGAAATGTGCAGCAAGTGAAAGGAGAAACATAAAGAGATTACAGCATGGATATGTCACCTTGCAATTATCACACTTTAAATCCATAAAATAGCCCTTAAAGGCCAGTGGGTTTCGGCATCCAAACCAGTTTTGCTTTGGATGCCAAAGTTACTCGGGCCATTCAACACTTTTTCACTCAGCAGACATAAGACTATTTTAAGAAAAAAATTAGCCACTCGATAACACAGTGGAATGCATGCCTCAGTGGGATGCTTTTATTTAATTAAATATCTATTGTGCAGTATTTATAAACTTAGACAGGCTGGTTTCAATTAAATATTCCCAACACCATTAATTAAAAAAATAGCCAATGCCTTACCTTGCTTACATCATAGTCTATTCTCTCATTTCTTTTATATCAGCGAATAGCTTAATCAACATATTATTTTACTTGATTTCATTTATAATTATTGGTTGAAAGGTAAACAGCTGTTTTATAGATATTTTTAATGTTACTTGGGAACTTATATATATGGTAACTGGATTATATCAAAATTTAAATTTCAATCATAAGAAATAATGGAGAAGTTCATCCTATTTATGAGATTTTGATTTACAACTTTTCAGGAACAAAGTATGCTTGTAAATTAGAGTCACACTGTATTATAATTATTATCATCATATTTATAAATTAATTCAAATATTGACATTGCTAATTTAGATTAAAATTATTCAAAACTAATTATATTTCTTGCAAATATCAAATATGGTAGCTGTTTTATATATTTCCGTAAACGTCTGTCTCTTTAATCCGAATAAAAATAATTTCGGTAGACTATCACACAGCCATCAGGTTGGAAATATAATAAAAGAAGTGCCTAACCTGATGGCTGTGTGATAGTCTACCAAAATTATTTTTATTTGGATTAAAGAGACAGACGTTTATGGAAATAATTATATTTCTTTAAAAGCTAAATTAAAGATTAATAATTAAAATACCAATAAAATCTTTGAGCAGAATTCTACAGAACTGATTTTCTAAGAAACGTAAAAATATCAATAAAATTATTTGGTAGAAATAGGAAAACTTAAAAACCAAAATATAATTCTATGGTGATATTTACTAATCTATGATCTATAGTTAGAATATTTTAAAGAATTTATCTATCTAATTAAGTTTTTAAACAAGGTTTTTCCTCATATCAAAATAAAATTATTATTTTTTGATAATTATCATGTGATATACCAAAATATAAAGCATACTACTTAGGCATTATTATCAAACTTTAATAATCTATCAAAATTTTTTCATAACTACTTATATTTAATGACTAATTAATATCCCAATAAAATTTTGACAAATCATTAAAGCTTAATATTGTTGCCAATGTTTTAAATAATCGATATTAAACAATTTTAATTTGTAATTTTAAGTGTAATGTGATAAAACTTTTCAGCTACTTTAATAACATTTTTAAATTATATTATACATATATATTTTTAAGAAATTTAGTTTCTACTGTAGAAAAATATTTTAAACATTTTCAAAAGCAATAATTATTTTGTATATACAGTATATACATATTCTTAACATTAACGTACCTTCTTGTGTAACGGAGTTTGAAGAATCGACAGAGATTCCGTAATACAATCGACTATTTCTTCCGCAGCTTCTGCGTGATCAATGCAATAAATCATGGCTTCTGCAATATTTTGTCTTTCAGGAGTTAGATTTCGTAACAAACCTTCTAGCTTATCTCTCTGACTATAAATGTAACATTAACATTAACATAATTCTCAGAAACGTTGGTAGAGATTTTAATTAGCATCAAAGGTGAAGAGTAATTTCAGACAAATTTTCAAGGCTTATGCTCAAGACTAACAACCTGTCATTTAACATTCCCTTTTTGGGTTCTTCTTTAGGTGATTTTTCCACTAATTCTTCTGGCATTCCTTGTAGATATGGATTTAACGGAGGTGGTTTCCAAATAGATCCGTTTTTAAACATTCGGAATTCTTCCGTACGCCATTTACTAGGGTGATCCCCCTAAAATTCAATTGATAATATGTTGTGTTAATATTGTTATAACAAAATTTTACACTTGATAAAAGATCAAAAAGTTTAATTTTCCAAAATATGCATTGAATAAATAACAAATATTTTCCCAAAACAAAAAATTATAATTGTAAAAATAATTCCTTTTAATAAACTGTTTACCATCAGAATTTCAAATGACTGACACCTTGGAGTAATATCATCTGTTGAAGAGAAGTACACAATTCTTGATTTATTATTAAAACATCAAACTTAGTGATGTTTATATGTGTAATATTTATTTTAACCACATTTATTCATTTTTCAACATAATCACCATTTACATTAGAGACATATTTTTCTAAATGTTCAATCTATGTTTGCATTCTGCACATAAAATAACTTTTCTGGTTTTCCTTGATCTATTTCACAATAATAGTTTGAACTCCAGCATCCAATGAAAAGTATTTGATCTTTCAGTACCTTTAATTTTGGGAATGAATGGAAGTCTAATGGATCCAATTTGGACTGTAAGGAGGGTTGGAATAACCTGAAATTTCAGTTTTATAAAGGATGATCAAAAACTTTTTGTTTGATAGCGCTGTAGTTATATGTATGATATGTACTGTATCTGAAATGAGCCGATACAAACCACTGATCTACTGTAGCTGTGCAATTAGTAAGGTATTTGTTGCATTCAGAATTACACATGAAATATGCAGTACACATATTGGCATTTTACTACCAAATATGTCCATATCAGATCAATGTGCCATTATTCTAATTTTGGCTGTAGAAGGACAAATTATTGGACATTGTTGCAGAATGGTGAAGATGCATGGGAATGCATGCCTGTCCAAAGCCACAGTTTTGACATAGTGTGCAAAGTTCCATGAAAGTTGTAACAAAATACGTTCCACGTTAATAATGTCGTCAAGCAGAAGTTGAACACACTTAAAAATGGGGGATTTCTGGAGCATCTGCCATAAAGTCTGGATTTCTAGCCATTCAATTTTCACACCTTCAGTCCTCTAAAAAGTCTCCGAAAGGAAAATGGTTCTAGTTGGACCGTGACATAAAGAGAGCCAGATTAGACTTTTTGTGCAGCAGCCAACTGACTTCTACCAGAAGGAGCATTGTTAACTCAGGCAACTGTCTTAATATCAGTGGTGATTTCTTCCAAACAGAATTAATCTACTGGGTCCTACAGCCTTTGAACAAAAACTTTTTGATCAATAATTATATGTCTTCACAGTTTTCTTGCTACAGCAGGGTTTTACATTGTAATAGTACAAAAAAAAAACTTTCTATTCTTACCCTGCAAATAAGTATCTTGAGTGCTCATCAGGTTATACTCATATAATACTTCACTGATTTGATTCTCCTCTGTTTGTTAGATACTTCATGTAAATAACCCCCTTTCAATTTCATAAACAAAATGTAAAAATGCTTTAACTTATCACACTACACCTTTATTTTGCTGAGATAGTTTTATTGAAAAACTAACGTTTTCGGCCTACTCTATAGGCCATCCTCAAGCTTAACGATAGAAAAAGGAACACTGGCGTTCCATTAAATAGAATACATAAATTTAAATACAAAAAAATAATAATGGAAAAACAAGAAAAATAATTGAAAAAATAATTCAGATACAAATACAATACAAAACAAAACCAGACCTAGTGACAGAAAATAATAAATAAAAATAAATGTATTAGTTGATACTTTAGATAAACATTGTAATAAATTGTTAAGGAGTATTTGATGAATGAAGTAACTATAAACCAAGACAAGACTATGAGGATGGCCTATAGAGTAGGCCGAAAACATTAGTTTTTCAATAAAACTATCTCAGCAAAATAAAGGTGTAGTGTGATAAGTTAATTATTTGCTGAGCACGTTTTGTTTAATAAAAATGTTTTACTCTAAATGCTTGAAATTCAATAATTGTTTGAAAATTGGACAATTGTAAATGCAGATTATGTTGAAAAATGAACAAACATGGTTAAAATAAATGATTTTCACCACTTTTCAAAATTGGTCACCTTATTCTGAACAAGAATGCCAAACTCATCAACATCCAACATAGATTGAGTTGCAATCTGAAGGAGCTTTATAACAAAAAAATGCAGTGGATTTTACATTTCCAACTTCCCAAGAAGTCTAAACAACAAAACTTTCCATTTGTGGTGTGGGATAACATTCAAGTACCAGAGTTTGTCAAAGAAGTCCTGAGATTTGGACAGTCATACGCTCCTCCTCCTTCATTAAAAGCGGCTACTAAATCATATATCCCGGATCTGGAGATGCTCTTAAAAGGGCTATCTGATAAACAGAAAGAGTGTTATAGATGGATGGCAACGTTTAAAGTAAGAAAGACGAAAGAGTCCCATGAGGTTTATGCCCTCCACGAAAAGTTAAGGAAAACATCTAAGTGGATACAACAAAATAAGATTACATTGATCAGGGCGAGCAAGGACAAACTCATAGTATTATTGAAAAACGATACCTATGAGAGTCACTTGAATGAATACATCAACATGACGCAGTGCGTAGAAGAGCAACAGGATGTCATTGATAAGTTACAATCTAGAGTGAAACATTTCGCCAACACAAAGCTGGCCAACAAACTAAATTTGAAAAACATCATAATGGATGTTCCTGACATTCTTAAATTGTTCGCCTTCGCCAAGACCCACAAACATGGACAGCAATTGCGTCCAGTGGTGGACAAGGTTAGAGCGGCCACTCAAATATTAGAGAAAGCCACACATAACATGCTCACCACGCACTTAGAGGGTTATCAATACATCATATCAACCCAAAGGAACTAATACAACAACTTAAAGAAGTCACCTCCCCTGTGTGCATCACAGTATTGGATTTCAGATCATTATATCCATCCATCAAACTAATGTTGTGTTTCTGTGCGATCAGGGACTTCCTCTTTTCTAAAGTTAATGATATAACAATGCACCAAGAAATTCTGGAGCTATCCCACTTGATATGTTACAACTCAGTATTCCAATTTAATGGGATCACGTACACAGAACGTAAAGGTGCTCCCATGGGAAGTCCAGTTTCTGGGGATCTTTGCAAGATGGTGGTCAGACTATTAGAAAACAACACTCTTCCTCACTTCCTACCCAATATGCTACTCTATAAACGATACATAGATGACATCATTATCCTGTGGAAGTCTGAACCAAATCTTAAACAGTTTGTTGATATGGTGAACGACAATCCTTACGGTCTGTTGATTGAAATAGAGCAACACAGCAACTCAAATGTCCATTTTTTGGATATCGACATCTCCTTTGAAGGTCCGAACATACACACTGCAGTATACAGAAAAACTAGTAACACCTCCATGTATATTCCAATAGAATCTGTGATCCTTTTCAGTACAAAGTAGCAGCCTTCAGGGCTTTGATCAAGAGGGCTTTTACACACTCCTCCTCTCTCCAAGCGCTGACTCAAAAAATAAGAAACATAAAAGGGATAGCAGTGGCCCATGGCTACATCAACCTCATACAAAAAATATATAATCGATACAGAAGTAGCCAGGAACCAGACAACAACCAGACAAAGACAAGTAAAGATTCAAGAAGAAAATATAAAAAGGATCCCCATCACATTCAATCCACATTTAAAATCGTTATATAACGAGATAGCCGAGAGATGTCAGGTCAATATAATCTACAGAAGATGCCAAGCCATTTTCCAAATACTATGTAACAGAAAAGACCCACTGAACCAAGTCAGACTTCCTGGAATTTATACCATCCCGCTCAGAGACCACAGGTGTGACAGAGAAATGGTTTACATTGGCTTAACCAGATGTACATTGGGGATTAGGACTAAAGAACATAAGGATGACATACAACACAACAGAACTACAACAGCTCTCTCAATATATGTGACCGATCAGAACATCACGGCGGACTTTGATGCGACACATGTTATCCTCACTACCATCCACCCCGAACATCTCAAATGGTTGGAGGCTATGGAGATATTTAGAGCAGGACACAACACAACATGCATCAATTTTAAAGAAGAGATAGCCCTTTCAACAGCATGGCAGATCCTGCTAGATGATAACATTTAAAAGTTTATGTCGAAAGTAATGTAGCGCGTACGCGCTGTACACAAAACATCGCTCTTTTCTTTTTCTTTTTAAATCGGCTTGAAGGTTGCCACATGCGATGATTTGAATGATAAATGGCTCAAAAAAAGGTATTCGATTCTCAACGTCCGGCTTAGTATTTACAGAAAAAGCCTGAGGAAGAGCACAGAAGGGCATTGAAAACGTTTGCTGACATTTTGCTAACCTTGTAACCACTCCAGTTACAAAGTTAAAAGTAAGAGTTATTTTTTTTACATTTCGGTGTGTGGAGACAAATAAGTATTGTAGCCATATTGCATGTTGTTTAACATGTTGGATAATGGGTTCAGGGCTAGGCAGAACCAGAGAGGACTCAAGGAATCTCCTTGAAAAATTCCTCGCCTAATGAATATCTCATTTGTTTGTATGGAAGTGTTACTAACCCTGAGATGTAGTGTTGTTCTCCAGTGCTGCATAGTGTTTTGGAANTCCTTGAAAAATTCCTCGCCTAATGAATATCTCATTTGTTTGTATGGAAGTGTTACTAACCCTGAGATGTAGTGTTGTTCTCCAGTGCTGCATAGTGTTTTGGAAGAATGCAATGAGTGATGGATGTATTTTGTACATGTGTAAATATGTAGCAGCCAACTGTGTGGAATGCTGTCAAATGGTTTTCTGTAGTCTATATATGCCATGTGTATGTTTCTGTGTTGTTTGTGTGCTTGCCATAGAATGACTGAATCTATGAGTAACTTCTTTGCATTCCCTGTGATTTCTACGGCAACCTTTTTGTTGTTCTGTAAGAATGTCGTGTTCTTCAACATGTTTGTGTATTTTGTTTGTGATACAGGATGTCAATAATTTGTAGAGTGTTGGAAGACATGTAATTGGTCTGTATTGTGTGGGATCTGTGGTGTTGTTGTTTTTAGGTTTCATGTAGGTGATGCCCTGAGTAAGAAATTTTGGCATGTCTTGTGGATTGATGATGATGATGTGTGTTAGATGTTTAGCTTGTTCCTGGTGCAGTGATGTAAACTTTTTGTACCAGAAATTGTGAATGTTGTCTACACCAGGTGTCTTCCAGTTGTGTGTTCTGTTAACAGCGTAGCAGATGTCGTGTACGTTTATTTCAGCACAGGGCATAGTTTTTATGTTGTGCAAGTTTCTGTTCTCCTCCTCGATCCAGCCTGCATCAGCATTGTGCGTAACAGCATTGGACCAAAGAGAAGACCAATAAGCGCAACTTATTGGTCTTCTCTTTGGTCTTAGTTTTTCTTCTGTTGGTGTGCCACTGTGCTGTGTATCAGTGTTTGTTTTGGTACTGATTTGTCTGTAGAAAAGTTTTTCATTGTTTGTGAATAATTTATTTTGTTTTCGTAGTGTACACGTTTTGTATCGCTTGAGTCTATGTGCTTTGGCTGCGAGTTTCTGTTTTAGTGTATCGGTGTATTCTGTAATGTGTGTGTTGTGATTTTCATGTTTTGTGTGTGTTTTGATTTTCTTGAAAATGTTTTTGAGTTGTTTCTTTAATTTGGGTGTTATGTTGTTTTTAGTGTATTGTTTCAGCCTGCCTAATTGCTGTCTAATGTCATTTATTTGTGTTTCTATTCTTCTCTGCCAGGCAGGCTTGTGATAGAATTGTGTCTTGTGTGTGTGTCTGTCTGTGATTGTATTTTCAGACCATGGTGTGTTACTACTGTGACTGCCCCAGCATAAACTAATGTATGAATGTCTGAGAATGTAGAAATTGAATGAATGTAGTGTGGTAGTAAGCGAGTGTTTACATAATTTAGTGTTTTTCCTACTTCCTTTGACGTGTTGATTTTTGGTATTCGTGGTCTTTGTGTGGGATCTGTACCAGTATATTTAGTGAGTGTTTTCTGAAATATAAGTGAGAGCGCATTAACTAATTCTATGTCTATGTTATCAGTGATGGATGAGGAAGTGCCTGTAGTATCATTAGTGGTAGTTGTTGTATGTGTGCTTCAATGCTTGTTGCTGGATTATCCTGACAGGTTACATTCACGCACCTGATCTTCATTGATAATGTTAAATGTTTCTGTCTGTTGATGTATTTGATCAGCAACCTGTTGTTTGATAAGTTCAAGTGTTGTTTGTGGGATAAGGTTGTTGTGTATAATTGTTTTTGATCAACAACTCTTTGTTCAGTGAGGTGGGGATATTGGTTTGAATCTATAGTGTAGTGTTGTCTGTATGCTGTCATGTTTGTTTTGAGTCTTGTGATGGTGTAGTAAATACGGATGATAAACTCGTTCATTCCTGTTGTCCATTTCATCCGTTGGCGTGGTTTTCCAGCCATTGTGGTCAGTGGATGCATTGCCACAGAAACACCAAGGCTAGGTTGATCCCTCACATCTGTTGAGGGCATTGCAGTAGCCATGCTTGGGCCAGCACTGCTTTTGCCACTGGTAACCAAGGGAGACTGTGGTCTATTTTTCGAACATGAGCCTCTGCCTAACCCACGAACGCGGACCTTGTTAACCTGGGTGACGTCCGAGCCGGTATCACACTTTGATCTGGTTACTACCATGATAATTATCTCCACAGAATGTGGGTGTGGTCACTCTTAGCTTCATTTCTCCCCATAGACCTTACTGGCATGGGTGTCCCTACCAGGAGCTTTTGCTCCAGCCGGCATTGCTCTATGGTTCAGTAAAATTACTGGGCTCTCCCACCACGACCAGGTGGTGACCACGGGAGAGTTATTATTATTATTATCATTATTATTAAGTATAATTTATTGTTATTATTAATAATTGTATATAGTATAAAAATAAGCACTTACTTGTAAAATAGAGAACAGCCTCCATCGATAATAAACATGTGCAGGACTTTGATTATCAAACAGAAACCTGCATTTAAACAAGAAAAAATAATTAGGCAATAAATACTAAATGTGTATATTTGTTAAATTCAACTTATTTCTCTATTTCTACAAGTCATACAAACTATTTAAGAAACAATACTATAGAATTTTATAAATTAAAGAAAAAAATTATACAATTTCAGTAATTTTGTATAAAATTTCTTTAAACCTTATTTTCAAATATAAGAACTAAATATAAACGAATTTAAATATACATTCATCAGTAAATTTCATAAAATGGATTATTTTAAATTTACTCAATTGACAACAACCTTCCACACTCATCCAGCATTTTGAATATTAAATGTTTTACTGCTAAAAAGTAAGGAAAGTTGTCAAATAATATTCCAGCTTTTGTAATAATTTATTTTAAATTTATTATTTTTAAACAATAACCATATAATAATTATAATGCATTCCTTGTTACTTATAACAACATTAAATTGTTTTGACAGAAAAAAGATATAAAATGAATGCATTCATCTTTATCAGTTTAAATTAAACAAGTAGAAATGAAAAAATTTAGTAAGACTTTTGTAATGTTTTAAAAACATCTTTAAAAAAAAGTTGCAGTTAAAAAAAACCTATTACATTAATCCTTGATGGATTACTATTTTGTTGAGTTAAAATAAATTTGCTGAATCAATAAGATAAATTTTCTGTTGTAACGAGATTGTATAAAAGTAATGCTTGGTAAGATACATCTTTTATAACATTGATAAAACTTTAAACATGTGAGGGATCCAAAAAGTAGTACATATAATAAAAAGGTGTGTGTGTGTGTATATATACACACCTTTTTATTATATGTATACACACACCTTTGTACTGTACATATATGTAATTTTTTTAAGTGTGTGCATCGTGCACGTAACATAACGTGTAACATATTCTTAAATCACTTTAAATTCAAATCTTTTTCATAATTAACAATGTAACATTTTAATTATTTTATTGTTACCTTATAAAAATTTATTCAGTATCAATTTTACAGAATTCTGATTAGTTTTACTTGTATTTTATGTTTTGTAACTTCCATATTTTGAATCTATTTGAATTTTATACTTTTAGTGTATTCAAAAATAGGAATTTGTCTGAAGATGTAAACATTTGAAAATATTTGTACTGTAATAAAATTATATCTCTCAAATAAATAGTTAAGAGTAATAAAAAACTGACACGGTCATTCTGAAGTAAGAGAAAATGATGTCAAAAATGATGATAACATTGATAAAATTAAATTCTTTTTTTTCGTCAAACTGTAAATTAAGTACATTTCTAATCAAGTTATTGTCAGAATGTAAAAATCTACTTTCAGATAATTTTCCTCAAGTATACAGTTATGTTTAAACAGAGATCATCCATAAATATTTTTATGGATGATCTCTGTTATATATATATATTATATATATATATAAATATACATAGNTTGTCTTTTTATATTAATTGTTATATTTTATTATTGTATATATGAAACAATGATTTGTGTGCTTGAACATATTGTATCTTTTTTTCAGATTTTTATCAGATCATAGATCATACAATTTTTTCAGCATTACTAGTTATTTACAAAATCATCATAATATTGATGCAGATAATGTCACAGATAATAATTTTCTTTCTCAAAATTAAAATCTTTATGACAAAAAACATAAATATTCTTTAGCTAATAACAAGAATAGAGTGAGATAGAGTAATTGATGATATATAGTACTTACCTGATATATGAAAATTGCTTTGAATTTTATACATTATTCCTTTTCTAGATTATTCAAAATTTAATTACTGGTAAGTTTTTTTTACAAAATGGTGTTTAAAACATTCATAAGTTATTCCAATTGATGATAATTTTATTAGCTGTATGTAGTTGGTATATTTATTTTTATTTGACTTCATCATTTTTAATTTATAAGAATAATTTATATATATGTAGAACATTAAATACTGTGCAAATACAAATATTTGAGTTACAAGCTTTAACTGTAATAAAAAGTTATATATAAATCTTGAAATACAATCATAATGTAATATAATTATAGTTAATTTTTTTCTGTTAAAAAAACTAAAAAATAAAATTTTTAGATTGAAGATATAAAAGATGCTAGTAGCATTGTAGAAACTTGATTTATCCATATTTATATTTTAAGTAAATATACACCATATTAACTGAATATTGCTAATTGCTTGCAAAAATTTTTAATTTAATAAAATAAAAACTTTTTATATCTAGATACAGTAAATCAATGCAATGTTTATGAAAAAATAGTGCAGAAAAACTTTGCAAAATATTTAAATTCTTTATTGATTTACCTCAGTTTTGATGCAAAAATTCTAATCTTAAAATTAAATACAAGCATTTTGTAAAACTGTTAAATTAATAAGTAGAATAAATATGTAATATTTAATTTAATAACAATAAGTTGTGATAAGATTTATCTTTATGATTTATTTTGTTTAATTTAGTTGTTTAAGTATTTTTAAAAGGTTTTATTAAATTTAATAAATTTGAAATAAAATCTTTAGGTTTGCCAGGAAATTTGAAAAAGGTTTTTGGCAATGACAGTTATAAATTTTGCTTCAATTTTATCTTTTATATTGGAGAAAAATAGATGTAAACAGTAATACATTAGCTATAATTTTATTTAAAGAAAATGATATAGAACACTTTTGTTTAATTCAAAAAGTTATTCCATTTAAATCATTGAAATATATTAAACAATGGAATATAGAAATTTTCTTAATTGACTAGTTCTGTGTATTAACAAAATATTTTTAGAAATAAAATNATTATAGGAGTTATTTTTACCGTTGTTTACGGATAATGCCACAATTTTTATAGGAATCATAACTATAGGAAACGGTTTTATAGGGGGATCTACTGTAATTGGTTATCCAAAAAATAAGTTATCCGAACAACCCCAGTCCCCAATTGATTCGGATAAACGACGCTCAACTGTAATTTGAACGTTTAAATCGAGCAAGGGAAATAATTCAAATAGAACTTTTATTTATATATAACTTTTTAAACTTAACATTCAAAAAGTTATTCCATTTAAATCATCAGAACACTGAATGTCTTTGATCCAAATGGAATTGAAAATCTCAAAAAGTCTTAATAATAATAAATATTTCGACTCCTTTAACAACTTTTGAGTTTTGATATAGATAGAACTTTTTTTATTGAAAATGAGAAAAAATGTTATGATTGAAATAATTTAGTTAAAATAAATTTGCATCGTTTGTAAGTTACGTAACACTATTTTTATACTTTTCAACTACCATTCCAACCATCTGTAACACACTAATACCACTGCACATCCCAAAATTACAAATAAATATCCTCCATTAATCCACTTGATTATATCAAGAAATAGTACATGACAAGAGATACTGAATGTTACATTATTTTATTAATTACACACACGACTTACAAAACAGTGACATAAACGGTAGAGTTTGCTATGCAACACTTCAGAAACAAAAACAAATCATCCCGTTCCAAAAACAAATCATGTAAGTCTTAGATCCTAGAGAATTACATAACATTTTTGTAAACACCCCATCCCTTGGACACACACTGTTACAATTACCTGCATACCCATCAACATCTGTGCTATTTATTTTATGAACAGTCCCTAGAAAACAAAAATGCACTTTCATACAGAAGTTTATCTTAATTTGAAAATATATTATATTCAGAAAATCAAAAAGCTTTAAAAGACACCAGAACCAGTTTAAAATAAGCCACATCTTTCACACCTTTTCCTGCACAACACCTCTTTATTATAATAAATATTTTTGACCCCTTTTAGAGGCCTGCCTGAAATTTTAAATGAATATACAGTAGAGCGTCGTTTATCCGAAGGCCGATTATCCGAAACGTCAGTTATCCGAAGGAATTCCAGTCGACAAATTTAAATTTTCGCCAGTGCTGTGGCGCTGTAATCTTTGGCTATGTCTTCAGCTACTCAAATATTTTACATTTTTGATACTAAATTAACTTCTGAAATATAATTTTTTATTGTTTTTATATTTTTCAATATATTTATTTTGTTTGTACAAAATAAAAAAATAATTTTTAACGATACAATAGTCNACTAAACAGACGATAGGTCGCCTAACTCGCCGTAGCGTGACGCTAGACGGCGAAAAATATATATTTAATTATAATAAAGTTACAATAAATTAAGTTAATATATAATTATATATACAGTACCTAATTTATATATAATTAATATATAATTATATGTACAGTACCTAATTTATATATAATTTATATAATACTGTCCAGACGATAGAAATCTCTCCGTAGCGTGGCGCTACGGACGGCGGGTAAGTAGTTCGGCTGCCCGATGACGTTTTACGTATTATAGGAGTTATTTTTACCGTTGTTTACGGATAATGCCACAATTTTTATAGGAATCATAACTATAGGAAACGGTTTTATAGGGGGATCTACTGTAATTGGTTATCCAAAAAATAAGTTATCCGAACAACCCCAGTCCCCAATTGATTCGGATAAACGACGCTCAACTGTAATTTGAACGTTTAAATCGAGCAAGGGAAATAATTCAAATAGAACTTTTATTTATATATAACTTTTTAAACTTAACATTCAAAAAGTTATTCCATTTAAATCATCAGAACACTGAATGTCTTTGATCCAAATGGAATTGAAAATCTCAAAAAGTCTTAATAATAATAAATATTTCGACTCCTTTAACAACTTTTGAGTTTTGATATAGATAGAACTTTTTTTATTGAAAATGAGAAAAAATGTTATGATTGAAATAATAAGTATTCTTACATATTTATGTTTAAAAATAGCCAGTAATTTTCATGTTTAATTTTACGAAATTATTTTACTTTAAACAAACAATTCTATCTTTCTTGTAGTAGTATAAACTTCCATCTAAAATGCATTGTTGCTAACAGAAGCTGTTTCTTATAATTTTGAATATATCAAAATGAGTTTTATTGAACTAATTATACAGATGTTTTGATATCCTTCAAAGTACAGTACACTACCGGGTAGCCTAAAGATATTGTATTGCATTCAGTTGTCAACAGTTAAGAAAACGAATAGACATTTTAATGAAATCTAAGTATATTTTTTATTTTATTTCTTTTGACTTTCAAAAGTTTGTTATGTACAAATTAAACTTCATTAAATAGTAACATTTTAAAACATAAAAATGTTTTTGATAAAAATACATTTAAAAGAGAAATTTTAATATAGAACTTCATTATACGGAAAGCTAACTGTAATTAACAAATACATTATTAATTGGCTATTTCTGCTTTATTTCTTGAAAACAATGAACTGATTTTTGCCAAATGATTGGCTAGATTGTATTGAGCTATATTAAGGCTACATTTAATAATTTGTATCTAATATTAAATGTAGACAATATAGCTCAATACAATCTGGTCATTTGTTGTTAACCAGATTATTTGATGCTTATGCTGATTTTTGCCATACCATATTTCATTTTTATCAAAATATTATCAATTTATATTACATGTATTTTGTATATTTTCATATAAAAGATACTTGTGAAGATACTACCAAAATGATTGCTGCTTCTTATTAGTCAATTATTATATACAGAAGACAATGAAATATTTGATGAAATTGTGAAATATCTCTTCTGTTTTAATTAAAAATATTAACAAAAATCAGTGCTGAAACTTCATTATATTTTAAATTTCAAAATATTCTGAGTACTATTCTATTTAACTGTTGAGAAGAAACACTAAAATTATTTCAGTATGTGATGACCATCAGCAGTGTGTTGATAAAGGCAAATGGATGACACACAGCCAGTACTGGTGGCAAGATGGTCATCTCTCTTTCTTCATTTTTCTTAAAGTAACCAATGAGATAAGACACCTATCATCTGCTTGGCATACAAGTGGTGATAATCATCACGAGCTCTGTAATTTTGTGTGTATGTAATTAAAGAATTCCACACTTATAGTGTCTGCCACCTCCTTGCTTTAGTTGGTAGCCAACCTGACTACCAAAAAATATATTATATCTGAGAATCAATTAAGTCACGTTTAGATTATAACAATACAAAATGAAATTTAATACACCTAAATTTGATATACTAAAATATAAATTATACAGATAATGTCATTTTACATTAGTAGGTATTTAAACACAATACGTACCTAAACATGGGATTGTTAATTTCTCTATTCATAATCATTGCTTCAAACATTGGACCTTCTCGGACAACAAATTCAATCATGCGATGAATGAGACACAGTAAACTCCTGCAATAAATAATTTTGACTGTTTAGAAGTTTCTCTTACCCTTTAATTAAATTTTCTGTATTAAAAGAATGATCCAATTTGAAATCCATGGATAAATCCAGTTAATAATGGAATATCTTCAAATTATTAAAGCATAAAGAACTTTTAGAATCTCTTATTTGTTTTTGCTGTTGACAGAGTCAAGCATGACAAGGAATATTATGGAAGCATTCAGTTTTATATTTCATTTTCTTACTACATGATGATAAAGGTAAATTACAATAATGTTTAAGTAAACATAATCAACTTGATACAAATCTTTTCCTATTAGCACAATTTTGAATGAAAATTATCAACCTATATGCTTACATTAGCAACAAAGTCTTTTCCATGGATTATTAAAAAATTGGATCATGTTAAAGTATTTAACAAAATAATATAATGCAAAATTATTGATTAATTTACTGTGAATAATTTTAATCTTCCATATTAATATATTTATGCTATAGTCCTTAGCTAGTACTGCGTGGTGCAAATTAAAGTATCCCCAGTCTGGTTTAAGTCTCTGGCACTAGTGTGTCATCTGAAGTGAGTGAACCGCATCAGCTGAGTAAGCAATTCTGAACACCAGTTGAGTTGTGTCGACTAGCGTCTGGTATTGTGCAAATTCACACGTAGTACCGGAAATTAAGGACAACATCAGTCACCCAAAGGCCACCATCGACATCACTATATTATGCAGTGTATTCCTAAACATGATTCAATGTGAACAGCTGCATATAGATGCGACAGGTGACCACTTTTAACATCTCAAACGCTGATGCTAGCAGATGGCTTCCATGTTTATTACCATATTATTTTGTGTTTCTGCTAAGCTACAAACTGGGGCTAATTTTCTATGCACCACCCTGTATCGTATAACAATATTTAATTAACTGTAAAAAACAAATTTACTATATTCATTTATTTTGAAAATGAATGCCTGTGTGTTATTGATATATTTATTATGAGAAATGACAGTTTCTCATCTACTTTTATATTATATGTTATTGAATAACAGTAATAAATAAAAAAATAATTTAAATTTTTTAAAGTTTTAATTAATTAAACAAAAAATTTTACAGAGTTTTTAATGAATAGGGCAAAATGAATATTCTTTATAATGTTCTTTAGCAAACTAGGGATGAATGGGTCCTTAAAGAAACAATCAATCAAACAATCAACTTTATGTACAATTAAATACAATTAACATTAATTAATTAATAATTACATACAATAATTAATTAATTGTACATAGAGTATTGATTAAACAAAAAATCTGAACACTTATTGGAAAGAATTGCCAATTAAAGAAGTGAGATTGCAAAAACTTTGATAAGATTGAAAGCTAAATTTAAGAGTTCAAGAAACTATAAAAATTAAGACTGGTTATTTAACAAAATGCATAACTGGAAAGGAAAAATGGAAAGTGTTAAAGCAGCCAAAATAATTTGATGTGATAAAGTGCTTTTCGGGATTTTCACCTCCATCATCAGATCAACTACATTCTGATAATTCAATTCAAATTATCAGACAATGTCGTCGATCTTAAGATGGAAATGAAAATCCTGAAAAGTGCTTAATCAAGTTAAATTGACTTGTTTAACACTTTTCGGTTTCTCTTTTTAATATATACCGACAGTCTGTTTCCATTTTGTGTTTTAAGGTACACACAAACTAAATACAATATACTGTGCAAAGAACATTTGCATAAATTTAAAATTTCATTAACTTAATGAGATTTATTAATTTCTTCTTATAATACACTATTGTTTCATTTAATCTGAAGATCTCACCTTGTCAAACAATGACATAAAACTTTTATTAGAGTTTGTTAAAACAAAAAAGTGAACCAAACTTCTCCGAAGGCTGCAATTGTAATAAACCACTACTACTCAGACCATTAACATGCAGTACAATTTTATTAATTCTCAAATGTTTTTGATCATTTAAAATGACTGAAAATGTTTGAGAATTAAAACTACTGCATGTTAAAGGTCTGAGTAGTAGTGATGTGGTGTACCCAACTAAGCTAGTTTTCAATATTGGATTTTTTACATTGCAAAATATTGTCATTGGCTATTTTAATTATTAAAATTTACAGAATACAAGTATTACTTGTAATTTGGGTAATTAGCTTATAATAATCCAATTGAAGTAAAAGAACTTAACAGAAGAAAAACTCTTAAGTAATAATATAAAGATTCCAAACTTAAAATATAATGTATCCAAAATATTAAGTTGCTTGTAACGGACCAGTATAACACTTCTAAAATCAATTATGCAAATGATTGATATCATAGATTTTTTCCTATAATTTTAAAAATTTTATAATTTCTGCTTATTAAAGATTAGAGAGTGCTATTATTTTTTAAAAAATAATTGCATTAACAAATATTTTATAAAAAATTTTCAATTACAAAGACAAATTTTTTAATTTATGGAATGCAATTTCATTAAAAAAAATGTTTAAAAAACTTTTTGTAAAGTAATTTAACTATTTTAATTTTACAAATGAATAATTAAGATGAAAAGTGACAAGAAAGAAATCATAGCATAACACATTAATTTTAAATACTAAAATCCACCCCTTCCTCTCATTTTCCAGCTATTCACTGATTAAAAATAAATGTTTTTGTCTACTTTCAGTGGCCTGCGTCAAGTTAAGCAGAATTCTATAAGTTTGGAATAATGCAGTTTTTCTTTGACGTAATTGTCTTTGAATTAAAATATACTAACTTTCGAAACTTCAAACTTGCTATAGATGTTGAATATAGAATTCTGCTTAACCTGACGCAGACCACTAAAATTAGCTTGAAACATTTGTTTTTAATCAGCGAATTGCTGGAAAGTGAGAGGAAGGTGTGAATTTTAGCATTTAGAAGATAATTCCAGCTTTAGAATTGATACATTAGTTCTTAAAATTTAATAATTTGCTACTTTTATATAATATAAAACAATATCAACTGCGCCAAACCTTGTTATGATAGGAGCCATAATATCAAGTATCAGAAATATGCAAGAGCTATATAGGAATGGTATTTTATATATATTAGAGGTAGGAGTTATTGTGGCTTCTATATTACAGGAGCCACAATAAGGGCTTAGAAGAGCCATATGCAGCTTGCCAACCAGTTTGGCAGTATAGTTATATAATGTCAAAAAATCCTAATCTTCTTTTTCGTCCTGGCTTATATCCCAAATTATATGGGGTCAATCCTAGAATGTCAATTCCCACCACTTTCATCTATCCCTAATTGTTTCTTCAAAAAATCCTAGTGAATAACAAAAAAACTATTTAATTTTTTATTAGTTACATTATGTTGTTATAGTTAAGTAAAAACATTTTTGCAAATTCTTCTTATAATATTTAACAAAGTATTTTTTATTTAAAAATTAAGACGTAGTCGCTTCCAAAAATTCTTGGGTGATCATCATATTTCTTTTAAATGTTCCTTAGTAAAAACTTCAGACGACCCGACCTTCCTTTTTAGGCTACGTGGCCATCCTGGAAAAAGTTCCTTAAAACATAGAAACAACCAATTAAAAAGTAATAATTTTTTAAAAATTGGATTTGATGATCTTACGACATCTTGCTTATTTCATCCTTCTCCGTTCAGGAGTTTCTTTATATCTACTGAAAATTTGCACTGTTTAATGTAGATTATCTTCTATCCTCCCTCTGGTGTCTGGTTGTCTGAAGTTTTTACTAAGGAACATTTAAAAGAAACATGATGATCACCCAAGAATTTTTGGAAGTGACTATGTCTTAATTTTTAAAGAAAATTTTATCATCCAGCGAAAATTTAAAAAGTATTTTTTATTTACCATACTTTACAGCATATAAGATGTACCCCCATTTTGGCACAAAATATTTAAGAAAAAGTATTTAGTGCCTTTAAGTCAACCTGCATAATAAGATAACTGTGGCAAAGTATGACAAGTAGACAGTAACAGTTGAAAAGTAAGTGTTGAAAAAAGATTACTGCTTAACTCTGATGAATTGGATGAGTACAACAAACGATCGATAATAGATAGAGGTTGCCTATAACCTACTGAAGGCCATTTGGGAGATTTATTAGGCTGCAAGATTGCAATTTCACATATAAGATACAGGACAATTTTTTCAGCCTTTCTTTGGTGCAAAAGTTGCTTCTTATATGACAGAAAATATGGCAATTACTAGCTGTAATCTGCAAAAATGAAAGAAGAAGAAATGAAATAATTTATTTTTACTGTTAGGAAAATACCTGTACAAGCTTTATCCAACTATAAAATTTCTTAATCCAGAAATTCATCATAAATTTAGGAGACTAAAAAAAATGTATTTTTCGAATACCAATGCAAACACCAAATTTCTTGTGTGACAAGGATTAAGCAGACGAGTCCTTGTCAAGGAGAATTCGTCTGCTTAATAATAATAATATTATTATTAATTATTATATCATATTAATTAATATTATATCCCAATCCATAATAGTGAAATATAAAATTTCTTGTATTGCAACATTCTTTGTAAATATTGTATCATTTTCTAACAATTGATGTTTCCAATGTTTTAAGTTCTCACTGTTGCATCAACAAAATCTTAAGTTATTCAATTTTGTCAATGTTTGAATTTGGATATACACCATCCAGAAAAATTGCTGTATTTGACTTATAGTGGAAAATGTCGTCCAAAATGAATAACATTGTTGAGTTCATTCTGTCCATGCAAATATATAATTTTATGACTTTTTCTGTTCCAATTTGCTTACATTCCAGAAAATTGATTACTTCCAATGCTAAGAGACAGCTTAAAATTAACTAAATTATACTGCAAGAAAGCACTACATTATGTTATGAGCTATAAAATTATATTAAAATAATTGTTTCTGTTCACCAATTTTGATCGATAGGATGTGAATTTCTACTGCAATTACATTCAAATTCAATTATTCTTAGAACAATCCATCAAATTTCAGTTGATATGAAGTTACAA